GTCTGTTCCCCTTCCCCAATTCCAACTTACAACTTACTAGTGATCAGATTATAAATAAAGGAAGATTCCATTTCACACCTATCAGATCAGTTTGGCAATGGGAACTTTCTTGCACTGCTTGTGGGACTGAAGATTGGTGTACACACACACACAGACACACACACACACACACACACACACACACACACTGGATAACACATTGATGCATCTTGTGAAACTGAATACACATATCGCTAAAGTGAAGTTATTCATTTTATATTCTATTTTTAGGCATATATTCTTGAGCAAAGATATTCAAATGACTAGTATTGAATGAATGGCTAACTCAATTTAGTGAGTCACAGCAGTTTACTGACCAGCAGTTTATTTTAACAAAACAGAACAGACCAGAAAATATAAAAATATATAGTAAGGATTTGTAAAACTTTGTTTTGTAAAACTTTTGTTTCAGGGGTGTGTGTGTGTGTGTGTGTGTGTGTGTGTGTGTGTGTGTGTGTGTGTTTTATCATGATATTAAATATATAGTTTTTGTGGGTCCTGACTTTAAAAAAGGTTAAAAATCATTGCTCTAGATAGGAGTCAACAAAGCTTTCCTTAAAGAGCCACATGGTAAATGTTTTAGGGTCATGGATCATATATAATCTCTGTTGCAACTATTCAACTCTGCTGTTGAAGCAGGAAAGCAACCATAGATAATATGTAAATGAGTGGGCATGTTTTCCAATAAAACTTTATTTATAAATACAGATGGCTGGCCTGTGGGTGGCAGACTACCAATTCCTGCTCTTGAACAGTCTTGTCCAATGGTACAGATATCATTTATATACATTTTTAAAATATAACAATGCTATATAGATTTTTGTATATGACATATATATGTAGTAAAATGGAAATAATACTATCAACTTCAAGACAGTGATTACATGGGTAGGAATGAGAAATTGAAATGGAAATTAGATAAGAAGGGATCTTCCTCTGTACCTGTAATATTTTATTTTTAAAAGTCTAAAAAAATATGGCAAAATGTTAATACTTGAAAAATCTTAGGGAGATACATGAATGTCAGTTGAATTATTTTTGAACTTCATTGTGTGCTTAAAACATTTGATAAACTGAAAATGAACATTTCTAGAAGGAAGGAGACTCACTAGGGCCTGAATGAGCCCAGGGATAGCCACTCCTGTTGACCTGTTGTTGAGCCTCCGAAAGGCACAGAACGTAAGGGATGACCTCGTGGGACTCCCATCAGGCCCCACAGCAGAGACGCCAGCTCAGCGAGGGTTGGTTCTACCACAGCACAGCCTTGTAGATGGGAAAATTTATTTCTCAGACCTCAGAACTCTTCTGAGACTCTGAGGGTTAATTCTTCTGCATCTAGTTATGATAAGAGAGAAGTAACAGCTTTGAAAACTCGCCAAGTGAATGCAAACAAAATCAGAGTATTCCTGTTATTGTAAGAGAAATTCTCCACTGTGTGTGTGTGTGTGTGTGTGTGTGTGTGGAAGTGGGGAGCCTCCTGAAGCAGATCCTGGTAAATCTTAGCATCTAAGCCACAATTTCATGTTTTCGTGGCTTCTGGAGACATTATTGCTGTTTCTCTACTAAACAAGCTCAAGAAGCCTAGGTTCCCACCAGGTAACTGAACCGCAATAGGTATTTGGAATTCTCAGGTATAAATGTGGAAGGAAAGGGTGACACTTTCTCTTACTAGCAAAATCCTTAGGAGTGATGACTCTTTCCTGAGCTGCAGCAAAAATCTTCTACTCTGGAAACCTGT